CTCATTTGTTTAATGTCTGAAAAACGTGTGCCAGAAAACCTGCAGAAAGTGTTCAGGTCTCACTGACCACAGGAAAGAAAAAGAAAGAAAGAAAGAAAGAAAGAAAGAAAGAAAGAAAGAAAGAAAGAAAGAAAGAAACCTGCAGAAACTGTTCAGGTCTCACTGACCACATAGAAAGAAAGAAAGAAAGAAAGAAAGAAAGAAAGAAAGAAAGAAAGAAAGAAAGAAAGAAAGAACGAAAGAAACCTGCAGAAACTGTTCAGGTCTCACTGACCACATAGAAAGAAAGAAAGAAAGAAAGAAAGAAAGAAAGAAAGAAAGAACGAAAGAAACCTGCAGAAAGTGTTCAGGTCCCACTGACCACAAGGAAAGAAAGAAAGAAAGAAAAGAAAAGAAAAGAAAAGAAAATTTGAGGAGACGATAAGACTCTCATACGTTTAAGGTCTGCTTCAGTGAAATGGAAAATCTTGTTAATTTTTAATCTTTTTGTTAGTACCCTTCTACTTCCTTAACTCATGACCTATATTCATACTATTGATTATTATTGTAATATTTTATTAAAGCTATTCAAATATTTAACTATGCAACAGGGGAATTTCTACGGATATTTTATAGTCGTGGAACTCGGAAGGAGCTTATTCAATAATTACCTTGAGAATTATGTTTCATTAGAAAGTTCAAATAGGAAAACAGCGAAATGTTCATGGGTATTGCTTGTCATATTAATTCAATTATTTTTTTATAATTGTAAACATTATATTAATTTAACTCCACCTCCGCAATTGTTTACTCTAGTTATTTCGATCGAAATCCATCTCCCCCCAGATTCCCGCTAGCAATTCATCTGGTTTCAGATATGTGACCACACTGCACGGTAATTTTACCATTAAAGGGGCAAATGCTCGACAGAGTTCTCGTTTCCTTACTTCGTATTCTTCTGGTAGGCATTCAGGATATTCGCCTAGCCATTCCAAAGTCGTGTGACAGGTTTTGATAACATCTTGTTGTTCAGTGTCTGTTAACACATGCTTATATTCGCTGATCAGCCATCGAGCATTGAGTAAACGTTCACGAGCTCCTCCGTAGGCGCATTCACTTAACCTGTGTTTCTGCTGCTCTACCTCCGTAAGCATTGTGTCTGTTTCCCGATGTAACTGACTACTCTGGATAATTATATGAGTAGACAGGCCGGTGTGCTCGTCAACAATCTCTACGTTTAAAATTCCGTTGACGTCCAATTCTAAGATGACAGCCAAATGTACTTTTCCCTTAGGGGCCGGCGGGATGATCAGTTCAAACTCTCCAAGGAACCTGTTGTCCGTTGTTAATTCGTGCTCTCCTTCAAATACCTGGGAAAAAATAAAAAAGAATAAAATGAGCTTATATAATTCTATAGGCGACAATTACGTTTTTTTTTTTTCTCTCAAATCACCCCAAGTAAGGTAATAAAGCCACTACGACGCAAGCAGTAAAGGAAGTGAAAGAGAAGTAAAACACTTTAGGAGGAAGCAGAAACCCAATAATATTATATATTTCAGAGTTTAGGTGGAAACGTAAGAAGTATTGAGTTGAAGTAGAATTTATAAGGAACGGGAAATATCCATCATGAACCGGATACAAGGGATAAACAGCTGATCTTGTTCAAAAGATTGGCGAGGGGTGTGAAGCGGTCGATAGGTCAACTTATCTAATGTATGCATGTATATATTTATGTACGCATTTAGGAGATTTGTAGAGTGGGTAGATCCAGTCAACTCAATCAAGGATAGGGAGTTTATCTGTCATATATGCCTGATAACTACGAAATCGAATACTCGTCTCTAGAATTACCTTATGGGTTGGATACCGAAACGAGACGGAAGTCCTTGCAAGTGATGTGAGGGGTGAGGAGGTGCCTTACCTCTGAGTAAGATGTGGCAATCACCATATATATATATATATATATATATATATATATATACACACACACCTACATATATATATATATATATATATATATATATATATATATATATATATATATATACACACACATATATATATATATATATATATATATATATATCACAACATTATGCAGTGTTTTCCTCCATCTTTAGTTTTTCCCAGTCATTTTGCAAGGTGTTGACCTTCTTCAATGAGTTCTTGACGCAATATTTATGTCTCAATTTTGGCCTGTGCGCTGGAACGATATATATACAGAGAGAGTTTTTCGTCCATGCTTAGAATATTGCTGCCTCATATGGTCCGGTTCCCCTGCTATTTACCTTGACAATATCCAAAGAAAAATCAGCTATGTTACCTGCCCTGATCTGGCGTTTCTGCTTCAGTCGCTTTCCCACCGCCGTAAGACTGCCTTTCTGTGTCTTTTTTTTTTTATAAATATTTTCGTGGTAATTGTTCGGATGTGCTCTTTGTTAGACGTTTTTAATTTAATCGGTTTCACCTCAAGCAATGCAGTATAAGCCACTAAAGCACAAGGAGTTGCTGGGTGTGGAAGAATTAGTAACGGAAATAATTAATAATGGATGTGAAGTAAAAAAAGACTAACCAGGAGCACAGTAGATGGCGATTGAAACTGAATTAAAATTTTTGCAATTGAAAGTTGGCTGGAATGCATTGAGACGGAAAGGAGTTCCACAAGCGAGAAGTGCAAGAAAAGTAACTGTTAGCATATAATTTACGGTTATCTCGCCAGCTCAACTGCAAATTGATGAGATCTCGCCGCCAGCCTCGTACTGCGCTTAAACTATATCACCGTTAATATTTAACAGCGCAACCCCCACGAGGGATATATCTGGCACAAGGCCGAGTTTAACGTGGGTCATCCGAGCCCGTAGACTCCGTCAAAAAATCACCGTAGAAACTGCATAAACGGGTTCGGGTCTGTCTACCTCCCCGTACGAGACTCTGTTCTTTGGCATAGCCTCATTCGGGTTCCTCTCTTCACAAGGTAGAGAGTTCGACAGGAGTTGCGAACAGCCTCAGTAGAACAGTCTATATGACCGTTTTATTTAACGGCCCCCACGTGGATCGTATGTGGTACAAGGCCGGTTTATTGTGGGTTCTCCGAGCCCGTAGGCTGGGCCAAAAATATTCCCTTTGAATCCGTATAAACGGGTTCAGGGCCTGTCTACCTCCCCGGACGAAACCTTGCCCTTCGGCAAAGCTTCATCCGGGTTCCTCTCCGCCTCGGCGGAGAGTTTGACAGCAATGAACGGTCTATATGACCGTTATATTTAACCACACCCCACGTGGCTCGTATGTGACACAAGGCCGGTTTATTGTGGATTCTCCAAGCCCTTAAGCTCAGTCAAAAATATTCCCTTCGAACCCGTATAAACGGGTTCGGGGCCTGTCTACCTCCCCGGACGAAACGTTGCCCTTCGGCAAAGCTTCGTCCGGGTTCCTCTTTGCCGAATCAAAGAGTTTGAGAGCAATGAACAGTGTATATCACTGTTTTCCCCCGAGGCTTACTTTCCTACTACTTTATAGTAAGTGGAAGAGTCCACAATAGCCTTATTAGAGAGAAGACACTACAACTCTTCCAGAAGCTGTAACTGATGCCCGCTCAGCCGAATTGCAGTTTAAACCACATATCGACTCTTTGGCTGTTGAAGAAGCACAAATGTGCATGGGCGGGTATCTGCAACAGGGATTAGCTAGCCACCATAGGCAGACGAGCATAATTATATGCGTGAAGATCGTTGAGACAAAATCCTGACAAAACGAATTTTGATTGTTTTCAATGTTAGGCTTTTAATTACAGTAAATTGTAATTCCCTATTTTTCCCCAATCGGGACAGCACAGCCAGGCAATAATGCTCTAACAGTGATAATTCCGCTCTTCGTCAAGAAAATTTGCTGAAGTGATAATTATTCAATTAAGTTACCTACCCAAGCCAACAAAAAAGGATGTTTTTTATCGAAGATATTCGACGAAGATTCGCTTTTTCCACTTTAATTAATTACCGAGTGTATCTGAAAGTTTTCAAAAGCTAATATCTCTTTTATTACACAATATTTAATGGTATGGTCAGGTCATAAAAGCCAACCATCGTATTACATAATATTTAATGGTATGGTCAGGTCATAAAATCCAACTATCGTATTACATAATATTTAATGGTATGGACACGTCGTAAAAGCCAACTATCGTATTACATAATATTTAATGGTATGGACACGTCATAAAAGCCAACCATCGAATTACATAATATTTAATGGTATGGACACGTCATAAAAGCCAACCATCGTATTATAATATTTATTTAAAGCCACGTCATAAAAGCCAACCATCGTATTACATAATATTTAATGGTATGGTCACGTCATAAAATCCAACCATCGTATTACATAATATTTAATGGTATGGGTCATAAAAAGCCAACCATCGTAAATCTATTTAACCATCGTAAAAGCCAATAAAATTTAATTTAATGGTATGGTCAGGTCATAAATGCCAATCGTATTACATAATATTTAATGGTATGGTCTAGTCATAAAGGCCAACCATCGTATTACATAATATTTAATGGTATGGACACGTCATAAAAGCCAACCATCGTATTACATAATATTTAATGGTATGGACACGTCATAAAAGCCAACCATCGTATTACATAATATTTAATGGTATGGTCACGCCATAAGAGTTAACAATCTTCCCACTACCATTCTACAAGACAAAAGAAGAAAAGACAGAGGAAATGAGAAATGGTCTGACAGCGCCACTGAGCAGACTGGAATATCATTCACAGAACTCAAGATATTTACATACAACCGAGACGGAGGAACTGGTAAGTTGCTCAGCTACGAATCGATCCTACAGACTCACCCGGTCATAAGACATAACGATGTTGATGGCTACACAATCTAGTGGTTCTCATTTCTTTCCTTTTTTTTTTTTTTTTTTTCAGGATGTCCTTAGTGCAAAAGAATTTTTTCATCATGACGTAAATTAAAAAAATATTGGTCTAAATTGATTTTACCGTGTGGTTTACAGCCATAACACGTTGAAATACCGGTTGTCGTACGATCACCGAAGTTAAACAACATTGAGCCTGGTCAGTATCGAGATGAGTGACCGATTGGGAATACCAGGTGTTGTAAGCTTGGATGTAGAGGCAGAGTCATGGATAACGGCTCGGATTTGGAAATCAGAAAGCCAAGTACCAATTCCAGTCGGGTTCGTTATATTCGCTTAAGCACGAATACTATTGAGAAAGGTATGAATCTAACTATTCCCCCCAGCTATGGGCTAATTAGTAGGTCAGGTATTAATAAATCATTATTATCTTAAAAATATACTTACAATTCTAAAATATTTTCTGGCTTCAGATAACATCAGAGAGATGTCCGCTGATAATAACTTCTGGTATGTTTTCTAGGTTTCGCTGTATCGGCTGAATAAATCTGGTAAGAAAATGCATCCTTTTCTTTTCTACTCTTTCTATTTTTCTGATCCGCAGGTGATTCTCTCGCGACACTACTAGTGACGTGTGCGACATTTGACCACTAGACACACGCGTGACATTTGAAGGCTAGAGAGACGGGCACGACATTTGACCACTAGACACACGCGCGACATTTGAAGGCTAGAGAAACGGGCACGACATTTGACCACTAGACACACGCGCGACATTTGAAGGCTAGAGAGACGGGCACGACATTTGACCACTAGTAACGTGTGCGACATTTGACCACTAGACACACGCACGATATTTGAAGGCTAGAGAGACGGGCAAGACATTTGACCACCAGAGACGTGCGCGTTATTTGAAGGCTATAGCGATGTGCACGATATTTGACCATTAGAGACGTGTTACGACATCTGACCACTATATTGGTATACGAGATTTAAAGGCTAGAGATGTTCACGAGATTTGACCACTAGAAACGTAAGCGACATTTGACCACTAGAGACGTGCGCGACATTTGAAGGCTAGAGAAGTGCGCGGCATTTGACCACTAGAGACGTGCGCGACATTTGAAGGCTAGAGACGTGCACGACATTTGAAGGCTAGAGTCGTGCACGACATTTGACTAATAAAGGTCCGCTTTATTTGACCACTAAAGACATGCGCGACATTTGAAGCCTAGAGACGTTCGTGACATTTGAAGGCTATAGACGTGAGCGACATTTGACCACTAGAGAAGTGCAGAATATTTGAACGCTTACAAAATCATTTGTTCTCTGCTTTGTTCAGTATTATTTCAAAGTTTCAAAGAATATGTAAATATCCACACATCGGTCAGACAATCTTAACTCGTCATAAAACAGCGTATCGCCTTGATTCTGACGAATAGAGCGTATAGCAGAATTAGGCCGGAAAATAGAGCAAGAAAAGTAGAGCGTCGTTCAACACACTGGAATCAAGATATCCGATCTTTATGAAAACAGAATGTTATCAGAGCGAACCATGCAAATTCAGAGGGGTGTATACCTATATTTCATAGACTACGCAGAAGCATTCGACAAGGTACGACTAAGATCTATTTCATCTGCTAAGGAAAGACATGATTTATTTGGAAAATATATTTGAATATTCCGGGACATTTATTGGGAACAAACAAGCTACATACGCATAGAAAAAGAATTTGTACAAATATAGAAAGGGGCGTAAGACAAGGATGCATCTTTATGTCAGATATGTTAACAGTATACAGCGAAACAATCCGAAGAGAACTAGTGGACCTAGGAACAACATCAATTAAGAGGTTGCTTCTCAAAACGTCCACTTTCCCGATCAGAGGCCTTGCTGCCGGATGTAGTTTATCGTCATACCCAGGACTAGAATAAAAATGAATATTATCAATAATATATACATATTATTTGAAATGCACATTTTGGAAAGGTGGGGAATGACATTCTGACATATGGGGAAACGAGTGTGTTGGGTAAAAAAGGTTGAGAAACATTGGCTTAAAGCCACAAAGAATGGGAAGGTGAGGAGAACCATGATCTTCTAGATCCTGAAGGGCACAGCATATAAAAGATATATATAATATTCACACATCCACAACGGGAAATTGTATTCAGTAACGAGAAAACTATTCTCATTTATTGCTAAGATACACACGAGAATAAGAAATGTTTAGACAAGTAGGTACTGTGGGAAGCGAAGTGATTCCTTGGCAAATTCCATCAGGGCATTTCGGCCACTTCAAACATTATCGGTTTTAGTTCTATGCTTAATGTATCTTATTATGACTCGTTTCACTGACGTCAATAATGACGTCAGTTTTAGTAAACTATATCGAATTCTTAAAAACTTCATTCTGATTATTTTTACGGCAGATTTTATAAATATGATGCTTTTGGCACAAGGCATAAGGGAAAGTTGGGGAGAGGTTGGTCAGTAACTATCTATCCTGTTCCTAGCCAGTTTTATTCCCTTTCCATCCATACGATATTCGACATAAGCACCAATGGAACTCGTCTTTCACTATTCGATATATAGCGTTTTCACAGGAGACTTAATAATACACCCATATATATATATATATATATATATATATATATATATATATATATATATATATATACTCGATTCCCCACTCCTCTTCCTCCTCCTCCTCATATCGTGCGCCTATTCATTTTTAAAAATTTTTTTTTTAAATATAGCGTTCATAATTTTTTTATATAAAAAACGTTAGGAAATCAATTGACCGAAATCCTCTAAAAGATACCGAAAGGTTGAAACCAAGGTAGCGGAATCATTGATCTCCTAATTTCTATATATATATATATATATATATATATATATATATATATATATATATATATATATATATATATAGTTATAAGGTATGCTATATTTATGTGATAAAGTGCTCAATGTCAGAGATGGAGCGTATGGAAATATGAAAATGTTAACTATATATATATATATATATATATATATAATATATAAATACTTTTTCGATAAAACGAATCGAGTTCTCTCAGTCACTGGCGTGTTTATCGAAAAAATAAATACGCTTAAATTCACCTTCATCCCTGCCGTGCGCCAACGGCTTAGGGGTAAATTCTCCGCCAGTTCAGCCGGGTTTCAATCCTAGCTAGAGGCAACCGGGCGTCTAGCCATACTGATGAGCATGACAATATATGTATATATATATATATATATATATATATATATATATATATATATATATATATATATATATAGTTTGTTTGTTTTTTTTACAAAAAATATATAAAAGCAGGCGGGTAAACCCATTAAATCAATAAAAAGTTAAATTAAACAATTTAAAGGAAATTAAAACTGTATTAGTAAGGTAGCGTCCACCCCATAAAAATGAAGATGGCCGATGTATTCTGCCGTCAAATAGATGCAATAAGCTAATGGTTGGGGAGCGACGAAAATATGGTATTCGGAAAATGTAAAAGGCTGGTCCAAATGAGATTCAAAAAAAAAAAAACACATGGACAAAAAATGGGGATATAGGTAATCTTTAAAAGGACCAAAACAAAAGAGGGAAAGGGGAACGGTAGGCACTCACATTAACTAGGAGAACAAGAAGACGAGCTTAACTGTTGGTAGCGTAGTGGTTATATCGGCGTGGAAAGTGGAATTAGCGTACGTGTTCAAATTCCAGCTTGAAAAAGGTATGGAACCATCTGTTGTCTTCACAATTAGAAGACTGTGCTCTCTGAATGTAAGACCAGCAGGTTGGTTTTCAATTCAGAGATGGGAACCGTCAGTGTATGTAGCACATCACTCTTCATATGACATCTGACCCAAATAGATTACGGGACGTGAGAATTGTAGGAGATAGGGAGGATCTATATGTTGTTTGTTCTAATCTCCACAATATATATATATATATATATATATATATATATATATATATATATTAGAATGTGAAAACATGTTAAAAATTGCTACATAATGCCAATTATATTTCAACACTACAAATGTTTCTCCTCGGGCGATATGAAACTGCTGGCGAGTGAAAGATTAATTTAATTTCGAAAGCCCTTTGGCTTAGGATTTTGTAATTAATCTTTCACTCGTCAGAAGATTAGCATCACCCGAGGAGTGTTGAAACATCATTTGCATTATTTAGCGATTTTTTAACATGTTTTAATAGCCTAAAATAATTAATATTTAGCTCTACTCTGTATTGATCCCTCTTTTAAATTAAATGTTACGTACAGTGGAATTATACCCCATTTGTTCTCATTTTACCTACATATATATATATATATATATATATATATATATATATTCTGCCCACCACTCCAGAGTACGCATCCGTGTCGTACGTGTGCGCAATCTCGAAGACAGCCAGCTAAACGCCTTAAGGTAGGTACCTCCATGAGATCGCTAAAAAAAGAGCATAGAATGATGAAAAAGACCCAAAACTTGACGAAAACAAAATTTTATCGTCTAAATGCTTATGTTATTATTAAGAGGAAAGACAAAAGTTTTTTTTTAATTATTTTTTAAAAAATTTTCCATTTTTTTAGAACATACTAAATTTTGATGAAAAAACCTTGTTTCTCTTTGTATCACCGGAACTAGTAAAATAACATATACAATTTTTAGCACTTTTTTTTCTTTGTATGACAGACATTAATTTGGAAAATCTTGCAAAAATAAAAATAATTGTTGGATGTTAAAAAAACTTTCAGAAACTATTCACAGATGATCGAAATTATTATATGTTTTTTTTTATTAAAATCATGGCAGAATTTTTTTTAATATTTATTACCCCCCCCCTAACTAATTTTATGAAAACGCTAGAAATTCGATCGCATCGAGTTTAGTGATTACAATAGTTAAAGCACAAGGCTTTGAGAAATGCAAATCATGTTTCTTTTTTTAATTGGACTCCTCTACGTGAAAATCAGCTCTGAATTGTAACATACAAAACTCAATAAAACAAAGATATTATTTAATTTCAATATCTTTTATTTGCTTTTAGTTGTTTTTATGAATATGGACAATATTTTCTCAAAGCAAAAATTTTTTTCGATGAAAAATGAATTTTTAATACAATTATTTGTTATTTCTTTAATTATAATAGATTTTTACATTTAAGTTGTTAAAATATTATAAAATTAGTTAAAAGCCGCATCGGGTTTCCTAAGTCTCCTTATGA